TCCTCTTGGTCTCCAGGAAAATGTGAGGGGGCTACAGATGAAAAATGACCTAAGTGGGGTGCTACAGCACCTAAGTGGGGTGCTACTAGGGTTTTAACCAGTCGGACAAAGGGAACAACCAACAGGAAACAAGGTCAGAAGAGGACAAGCATCAAAAATAATTTGAGGAATAGTTTTAAACTATCAGTTTTATTTGCTTTTTTTTGGTTTAAAGATAAAAATTATCATATACTCATTGAGTAATCTTAGAAGGTATATCATTATAAATTTGATTCCACTTATTTTATGTAGAAATACTGGATTTGGTTGGTGACAGAAGAGGAAAAACCCTTTACCTAAGCTATAGTCTTGAGCATCATTCCAGACTCTTCCCAATTAGCAGGTGCCAATTATTTCTCTCTCATTCATTCTTATTTCCAGTGTTCTAGTTCAGTTCATTAATATTCTGTTACCTGAGTTATTACAAAAATCTAAAATCTTTCCTGCCCAAATCTGAATTACTTGCCTGAAACTTCTAATCCTACAGGGAAAACTCTATTTATGTCGATGCTTCTCTCATTTCCTCAGAGTAATCCTCCTTAATTTAATTTAGATAGCAAATCCCTTTCTGATTTTTCGGTGACTTAAAATTTCATTTAAAGATCTTTTTATTTACTAATTTCAGTCAAGTTAACTTTGCCCTCACTCCTATGAATTTATCACAATCTTTTCTGCTACAAATTGCAAACAGCTCTTTCTTTTATTCTGTTTCCTCTTTACCTTTTGAAAAGTTCTCATGTTCTGATGACAAGATCTTGAAAATCTTTGTTTTTAAAATGCTTTTGAACTGTAAATCCCCAAGATATTTTGGGTAAATTTTATATCAGCATTTTGTACCCCATAAGAGCACTTGTCATATTTAAGTCATATACCATGAAAGTTCCCAACACACCAGATGACAATAAACATGAAAAAAATGGTCTTAACTGATTTAATGATAAAATATAAATTTTATGACTTAATGAATAAACAATAAAAGTTTATCATAAGGGGATTTCTTCAGGTGTGGAGGTTTGGTAAGACTGTTGAAATGTATTTGTTTTCAGGGATATGCTTAAATATCTCAAATAGTCACTTGGGGACTTTGAAGCAGACTGATATGAGTCATGCTTTATGACAGTTAAATAAGCATTGAATGAGATGAAGTGAGACCAAGGTTTCAGTCTCTGATTATACGATCCTGACCACAGCTTTAACTTGTATTTAAGAATGTTTCTAAAGGAGAAAATGTAAAATAAGCATATTTAATACGTATCAAATGTTATTTTTTTGCGTAGAAAATCTAATGTAATGCTTGAGAGAAATTTGACATGCTGAGGTTTATTATTCATTCATAGAAACAGGTGTGTCTGGCTCGGTAGTGTCACAATGAGAAATTAATCTGAGTCAAAACTTATTGAAATGCTATTGTAATAGACAGATAACCAAGTTTGACATTTCTTTGGGAAAAATGAATGTGTCAACATTTCCTCTTGTTCTAAAATAAATATGTGGATAATACAGGTCTTCTAAATAGAAAAAGTTAAGTGGCATTTTATTTTACCAACATTGTAGCTTAATTAAGATTCATAGATAAGTATAAATGACTACCATTTACAACTACAAATTAAGATGTATTTCTGTATAGATTTTTTTTGGTGGGAAAATTAAGCATTCAGATATCTACAAAGAATTTAGAGGTCCCAGTGCCAAGTCCTTTGGTAAAGACTTTATCTTTATTTATTCCATATCAAAACTATTATCTCATTCTTACTTTGGACAAACTTGCAGGCTATCGAATGTAGCCTGCCCACAGGGCAGAGTCTGGCAAACTCCCCGGGGCGTACCAAATATGCCAAATACCAGTAACATTGATGGGTCTCATTCTCCTAAGGAGCCTTGAATATAATCTCAGGGCTAGGATGAAAGAGACGTTACTGGGGCCTGCTCGAGGCAATTGATGAATAACAGGATGATGAATGAATGAATGAAAAAATCAAAACTATAGGTAGAACTGAAAGAAGATTTGGTGTGTTTAAAAGTTTTATCTTATTAATAATTAATAATTTATGTTGATTTACTATGGTTTAATCAACAGAAATTATAGGTTAAGTTGCATGCAATATGTTTTCACCTCCTTGTTAGAAGATGTTGTGTTATCACAATGATTGAAAGCTTTTTTAACCTGCTATATTGCAGGACAAGTGCCTTAAAATTACATTTCCATACCATTAAATATTTAAAATAGCAGTTTAAGGATATTTTACAATTATTGACAGTTTTAAAGTAACAAAAATGAATTTGAGACTAATTGATCAAAGCTGAGATTTTAACTAGATTTATTCAAAGTCTCTGATCTTTGAATAATATCACATTACCATTATCAAATAATATATAGTGAAAAGGCAGTAACAAGGTTGTGCTTCCAGAGGAGAGTGAAATGAAGGGTGATATGAACAGTGTATAAGTCACAAATCAATAGGAACTATGCTCTATATGAAGCGCTTTTCAAATTTTAAAGAACAGATAATTACTTGAGGATGTTGCTAACTTTAGAGTCTTATTCAGTAGGTTTGGGCTGGAGCCGGAGATCCTGATGATGTCTCCTGAGTCTCCTGATGATGCCTCTTACTGAAGCCAATATTGCAAATTGTTCTCAGAAGTCAGGTGTTAATTCCCAGCGGCTAATTCAGTACCATGGACAGTGGAACAGGTGTGACACCATACCCAGTCTGTCATTTCAGTTAAATTTCAAATAGGATCTGTGGGAAGATTCTCATAACTCAGCATACAGTCTAAGTTTTTTTTTTAAGTACTTAAAGGATTATAGAAATAAAGAAGGATGGGAAAAGTAGGTTCTCTGTTAGCAAATAGTTGAGTATGAATTACAGAAAGGATTTCCTCTTCATACTTTGCTCTTTTAGAAAATGGCTTTTTTTTTTTCCCCTAGAGAAAATTCACACAGCTAAGAAGAACACAGCAAAAAATATTGTTTGAAGTCAATAGAGTTTTATGGTGACAGGCCCTATCCATTACCTCTATAGAGAATATGGAGCTAAATTCAAAGTCATTAGTGGTGTGATATGTTCATAGGCTTTATTATTATTTTTTAACCAGATGCAGAGGAACTAGCCATTAGCAGAGATTACACAATTCACTTGAACTTGCTTTGGGCATTCAATACCAGGGAAGAATTTATAACAGTTGAGTTGGGAATTTATTGCTCTACTATAATCTACTGTAATTCTCTAAGTTTAGAACATTTTACCCCTGTCTACTCTCAGACTAATAGCAATTATCTTTAAAAGAAGTGTAAATGGTTGTAAATAATTATCTTATATAGTAGTATTTCAGAAGATAATTTCTCCCCTTTGTGGTTTTAATCACCAAAAATGTCAGTTCAGAAATAATTAGGTACTAACTGAATATAATAATATTCAGGTTAGTAATATTTCTAATAATAAGAATTTGGTTGGGTAAGGGCCTGGAGTGATAGTACAGTGGGAAGAACACTTGTCTCGCACACAGCAGATCTTGGTTTAATCTTTGGAACTCCATTTGGTCCCTGAGTCCTCCCAGGAGTAATGCCTGAGCACAGAAACAGGAGTAAGCCCTGAGCACCGCTGAGTATAGTCTCAAAGCAACAACAAAGAATGTTTTTATTCTTTCTTTTATGATACTCTTTAATCCCTCTTAGAGTAGGTGCAATTGTTCAACGCCTAAAATGTGTAGACAACCATTTAAAACGTTTCACAATTTAGACAGGTTGCCAGGTGATGGCGATGGACATTGTGAGTGCATTCCCCACGACGCTAGAGAATGTAACCAGTAGAAACCACTCTGTGTGTCACAGATAACTGTGGCTTCAGCGTATTTACTTAGAAAATGCAGAGACTACAACAACTAAAGGTATGGCTCAGAGGCATCACGCTCCTTTCCATGGGGAGTGCCTTAACAAATGTGTGAGAAAATCTAAGAGATTTGAGCAGGTGGCTGTGAGCTAAAAAGTATTAGATGCAGGTGGGGTAAAAATAAAACTACAGATGGCTTATAGAGGTGACTCATTTCTCCACCCCCTCTCCAATCATTTAGTTTTTTCAAAGAAACTATTTTGATTGTGCAATATGTACTAAACGTGTCAAATCCTCAATTCTTCTAGTCAAAACTGGAAGATTGCCCCATCATAAAATCATTGTCTAAAGTCTATTCCCATTTCCTTACCTGTTTCCTGGAATTTTTTTAACGTGATAAATTTTGCGTGGACTTCTCTTTGCTTCCCTCTCTTTCTGTGACAGGTTATTATTATCTTATTTATTTTAACGGTGTCAGTGTGCGGGTTTGAGTTGGGAAACTCTCAGGAGTACTAGGCTCATTCCCCTTGGTGCTCCGAGGATGACCATGTGGTGCCAGAGATGGAACATGGGGATTTGTACATGTGGGGTATGTACCTCTTGAGCCACATCCCTGGCCCAAACAACAGACATTTTTGAATAACCCCAGTACCCACATCTTCCTGAACATGAGATCAACGCATAACACTAGAACACCCCACATGTCATGTGTCCATCAGCTAAAACAGATTCGTTTAGGAGACACACAGATACCTATCCCCTCCAGCGCTAGGGACTGAGGTGTTCTCCCCACCAAGGTACCACGGCTGGGATGGCGAGTCGGAGATTGACCTACTTTATGTACTGAGTTGACCCGGGTAGATGATAATATGAACAATCATCACTTAAGCCGACCGAACTGGAGGTAACCCTTCCATTGCTTTTCTCCGTGAGTAGGACACACTCTCCTTTCAGTGGTGTGAGGACAAAGGGGGAGTCACCTGTACCTCTCCTTGGCTGTGCTAAGTCCTAAACCTCTCAGCGCTGCTCTCCGTGACCTCGCCCTCCGTCGACTCCGCGCTCTCTTCCGAGATCACGCACCCCCAAAGCCACTTTCCAGGAGAGCTTCTTTGCAGGGCAGAGCAGCGGGGCTGCTAGGTGGAGCGTCCCGGGTCTGTGGACTCTCCTAGCGGAGCGCAGAGCCGGCGCAGCCCACCAGGGGGACCCCCACCCTCCCAGGAGGCGTCTGATAAGAAAGCTAGCGAGGGGCGTGGAGCCCCGGGTCCTTGCGGCGTCTGCTCCAATAAAACCTGGCGGGGGCCGGGGCTCCCCCGCACTGCTCGGGACACAGGAGGCGCGCGGGCCGTGGGCTGCGGGACTCGGAGCTCAGCCGGCGGCGGGAGGCGCGCGCCGCGGGAGGGTGTGTCGTTTGCACCTTCTGGCCTTGGGGCCCGAAGAGGAGCCGCTGCCGGCCGCTCTTCATCTTCTCGACGGTAGGTTTGGTCCGCGGGCGATCCGCCTCCAGAAAGTGTAACTTGGACCAGAAATCGGGGGCATCTGGAGGAGACGGGGTGTGATTTTGTGTGCACGCTCCAGGAGGAGGGCGGGCCTTGACCTGCTGCGGGGTGGAGGGTGGGGGGTGGCAGCAGCAGCAGCAGCAGCAGCAGCAGCAGGTTCTGAGAGTCCCCCAGGGTGGTCGTAGACGGCGCGACGGGCGCGATCCGGGACGGATGGGCCCCGCACCCCACATCTGCGCGCCCCTTTGGCGCTCGGGCGAGCGTACGGGCTGGCGCGAGCGTGGACCCAGCAGAAACTTTTCTTCTCCAGCCAACCCCGGGGCACCCTTTTGTCTTTTTCTCGGGGGCGGCGGCGGCACCTGAGCCGCGCGCGCCCGGGGACCTCGCAGGGCAGGAGCGCACCGTGCCCCTGAGTGGGGGCATCCCGCTGCCCGCGACCCCCCAGCCGATCCCGGCTGCGGCGCCTCCTGCGCCCCGGGACCGCGACCGGCCCCCACCCGCCGCCTGACCCCAAGCTCGGCCGTCCGCGGTGGCCGCGGGATGGGAAGGGGGACGGCGGCTTCCCACTGACTACGCCCCCGACTCCGGAGGCTGCCGGAGTCACCGCCCAGCCAGGCGCCCGAGGCCCGCGCCCAGGACAGGTGAGTGGGCAAAGGAGAGTCCAGCCCGAGCTGGGCAGGGGGGTGCCCTGCTGAACCCCGGCGCCTGTTCGTGCCTCCCTTCCCTTGATTGAGCCTTCGGAGTTAGGGTAAACACTGGCTCCCCAAGTTTGGGAATTGCTAACCAAGTCCGCCCTCCATCCCCGACTCCCTCCCTCTTCGGAGCGCAAGAGAAATCCTGCGAAGTGTGGGAGCACCGAGAGCCTCGGAGCGCCCAGCTGCCTTTCTCCAAGCTACACCCTCCTTTGTCTCAGTTCCAGGGAGTCAGCAGTCTCGGAAAAGATGTCCATGGCGTCCGTTTTATTGCATTCCTAGGCAGGAGCAAAGTATGGTCAGGGGTGCCTAAAGCAAGATGTGGATGTGGTGGGATCTACACAGGCAAAATGGAGAGGCGAAGGAATTATTTGCCAAATACAGCCCTATTCTTCATCCTTCTTCCCATGAATCCAGCCTGCCCTTAAGAAAAAGGGTCGAGCTTTTGCGAGATTGGTTCCATTAATCATTCTTGGGCTAAGATGAATTGTCTAGGCTAACATTTCTCACTGGGTATGTGCACGCTCTCTGTGTATTGGCAGGCTCTAATGTAGATTGAGAAGTGAGTGTGTATGTGTGTGTGTATGTGTGTGTGTGTGTGTGTAATAAAACAGTTCATTGTTAAGCACCAGACATTGATAATTTCATAACATCAGATGTTTCAATTGTGTGTATAAATATAAAAAATTACCAGTTAAAATTTTCCAGGTGCACTTAGTCTGGTGTATTTTAGAATTAAATAGAATGGACTAAAGTCCCTCCCCCTGCCAAAGACCTTCAGAAGTACTGGTGGACAACTGCATTAAAAGAGTCAATGAGTTTTCTTATATATCAGGAGGAATGTTGACCTCTTTTGGGTTTTGAGTTAAACCCAAATTTTGAGATAAACTTTCTGTAGTTCTTTATGCATATATTACCAGCTCCTGTAAAATTTATTTAATGCTTTGCCATATCATGCATTATAGAAACACTTGCTAAAATGTGACCTTCAGTATATTTGGCTTCTGATACTAGAATATATTACCATTTTGTGAAATGTAGGCTGCAGTTTCAAACTAACATATCTTTTCTTTTCCTCCTCTATTTACCCATACAGAGGCACCTAGTTGTAGTTTCATTCTTTATAAGCAGCTTCTCTAAACAGAAAACACTGTTTCCCTGAAGTGGAAGATACAAATGATTTAGCAATTTAATGTTGACAGAATATATTTTACTCTTAAAACTATACACTGGGGTGGTAAGAATGATTTTCTTGAATGAAGTTCTAATGGCTCCTAATTACAAGATTTTTTAGCAGTACTTTGTAACTGGGTTATACTGAGTTGTGTATCCTAAATTGGGAAAACCATTCAGGAAAGTGTGTTGTTTGGGAAGTCTGTGAAAGCAATTTTTTTTGATGCAGCTGGCCCAGACAGACTTTACCTGTTGCTTCTGTGTTGGGTTCAGGTAAATGTCTGTGATCTGAGAAGCCTTCTCATCAGGAATGATCTTTGTAAAGAAGGATGACAGCACCTGTTATTTTAGCCTGAAGGAGTTTTTAAATGATGCTTTTGAATGCTCCAAGGGTTAAATTGCTACAGTTTCACTTGAGTAGTTTCAGAATTTGAATAACATCCTGGTGGGGCTGAAACAGACAAATATTGACGGTAGGAGGAGTCGGCTGTTGTATTGATAGTTTAAATGATTTTATTCCCAAAGGGATAGTGTGGGACTAAAGCATAAAGAAAAACTAAATTCTTAGTTTATATTTTACTAGTATAAAGATAACTAAATCCATATTACCTTTGTAAAATATAAAGACAGATAAAAGCAGATGTCACTTTTTTACATTTCTTAGACAAAATTAGCAGAAGATAAAAATAAGTCCCTATGGAAATGCTTATTACTTACAAACAGAATTTAGTGTTAAAAGATGAGGTGGTTTAAACATAAGTTCTGTTTAGTGTTAATCTTCCTGAGTAGGAGAATGAATGAGCAGTCTTCAACAAGCAAGAAACATTTGGAAAAGGATTTGTCTAGAGACGGGAAAAAAGTCCGTGGCAGGAAAGATCATTCATTTTACTGGGGAATATGTGATTTGTAATTTTATCAGGTACATTTATTTTGGGACTTGAGTTTTGTCTTCAAAGATCTGTTGGTACTAAGCGGACAGAGAATAGAGTGACCACAAGATGTATCATGCTTGCGTGCTGAGAGCAAGGTATCCTGTCTCACAGTCACTTACAGGCCAGAAAGGAGGAAACCAGTTAATGCAACATGTAGATCACTGAGCAATTGGAGCGGTCCTTGAGCATTAATACTCCGGTGCACATGAGTGAGCATTGTGGGGTTGACAGAGATTTTAGATGGAGTGCTTAAAACCAGAGTCATCATCCTGATAGAAACTGCTGATTATATTCCTTGGACTTTCTCAGCATCTATGTGCTGATCTTTTCATCCTTTTTGACAGTGGAGAAATGCTTACCTTGCATTTGCTCCACCCAGGTTTGATCCCCAGGTCCAGCCAGCAGTGATTCCTGAGCACAGTTGGGTGTACCCTCCTTCCTCCAAACCCTAAATAGATAAGAAACTGAATGCTGAGTTCTAGTGCATAAGAAGAGAGAAAGCGACAAATAGACAAAGAATCAGACAGACACCCGGGACATCTGACTAATCACTGATAATCTCAATTTATAATATTTGATACAGTTATAAATACCAGATTTTACTACTCAATTATTTTTGCTGCATTTTACAGATAATCGCAAGTTGTTTTATAACCAACCCAAAGAGGTAATTAGAACAGAAAGGTGATAAAACCAGGACTAATCATGCAAAGCACATTTGCACCAATATGCTCCACTGCATTTCTCATCCTCTGTAGAGAGAGAGAAGCTAGAACACACTTAGGAAGCTATATGTATGGGAGAGAGAAGTTTAGCCTTAGATTTTAATGGAGGTTCAAATTCTTGATTGAAAATTCAGGTTACAATCTGGAACATGCACCTCCAATTAGAAGTTTGAGATTTCCTAAAATATATTGAATTTTGTTGATGGTGTTTATTCTTCATACTTTTATTGCCTGTTCTGTGCTTTATTTCCATCTCATCTCCCTCCTTTTTCCCAGCAGGAATCCTGGGGATTTTACTGTTACAAAATCATGGAAAGGTTCCTCCAAAAGCTTTGAATGTCACTAAAAAATGGAAATTCTCATATAAAGGTGGTGATTCATTGTACTACCAGTTAGTATGTTCCAGGAACAAGTTGTGCTTGAAAACTTTTTCATATGAGATGAAATTACACAGAAATGATGGGAATGTGAGTATTTTCTAATGTGAGTATGATCTGATATGTAGATCAGTTTATCCTTTTTTGCAGACAGGCTCTGTTATTTTTCCCTAAGCATCAAGGGAGCTGAGAGTGAACAGTTCAGTCCCTTCCACCCCATCACCCCACTCTGTTCCTGAGAAATGAATTGTTCATGGCCCTTCAGATTGTGACTGTGGAAAAACCTTCATTCACTTACATTAATCTGAAATAGAGTGACTGGCTCATGAACCTGACGAGTATAATGAGTTAGACTGATTCAGTGGTAGCTAGAATCCAGAATCTCAGAGGTCACTGCCGGGATTCTTTCTGTTGCTGATTTCTCATCTTCTCTTCTAAGTCACCTTCATTCACAGGCTCTTTTTCTTCTGAGAAAGATAAGTTAGTAGTTTCAAGTCTGCTTTCTTGGACTTTGAAACCATAGTCTTCTCTTTTGCAAATCTTAGAGAAATCTCCCGGAAAGGCTTCTATTGGATCTCTCTCCATGATTATTGACTTCATCTGTCCAGTGGACTACTTCTCTGATAGTATTGGAACTGGATGATGTGCCCAGTTTGGAGTACACATGTTGCTGGTCTGAAGGCAAATTTGTTAGACAGCTATGTCAATATCATACAGAAGTGTGTTTCTTCCAAGCTAGTAAAACCACTGATCTAAAAAGTCTATTTCTGTGGATGTCATTTTTTAACATTTTTAATTATAGTTTAGACAACATGGTTACAATAATGTTAAAGATATATTGATGTACAAATGTAACACAATACCAACACCAAAGTGTCCAAGACCCACCACCTTTATTCTGACCTTCCTTCCCCTTAATATTTACCCCATTGCTTGAGAATCGGTTTTGTCATCCAAGAGGGGTTTTCATTGTTTGATACTGCCTGTTCCCTTGTTTTGTCTCTCTTGCACAGATGCATGAGATCCCCCAGTGATTTCCTTTCCCCTCTGTGATGAAATATTGCCCTCTGACTTATT